CTCCTCTCCTCTTCTCCCTTTTTCTGCTCTCCTTTCCTCCCCTTCCTTCTCTCCCCTCCCCACCTCCTCCAATTTTTCCCTCTGTGCTGCTCTTTTAATAAAAGATACCAGTTGCATCACATGAACCCATTATTATTACTGTTCTGCAGTTCTGATTCAACCCACAGGCGTCTGTCTTTCCATTCTACCTTTAGGGTCAAATACAACATTCTTCACATTTAAATTACACCTTGTCAGAAATCAGAGAGACCCCATGCAAAACAGAAACTAAAGAAAAAAAGCAAGAAAAGTATCTCGATTCTGCTCTGAATTCTAGAAAGGGCTCTGTCTACACCACATTCCCCAGGTTTGCCTCCCACTATGACCTGAAGCTTCTCGCTGTGGACTGGGCAGAACTGACCAAAGGCTAGGGGTTCTGCCACGGCGTCAGCAGACTGGAAGAGGAGAAAAGGCATGTCCGTGATTGCGGGACAGTGTTCTCCGAGACCCTCCAACAGCAACATCCCTGTCTGTGCCCACTTTGCCTATTCGAGTAACTGTGCTGCCCCAAAGAAATGTGATTTGCAGTGTCCTTTGCCATGTCAAAGTCCTCATCCTGAAGGGTGTGATAAAGTCCGAGGGCAAGGAAGCCCGGATTCTCTCAGGGCCATTCATAACTGCTACCTCCCAAGCTCTGCATGTAAAATGTCTGCCCCTTTATTATACTAATCTCCTCACATCCCATTCTGTCCTCATTCTTTCTAAACTCGGATTCTCAGCTTTTTCTGAAATTAACAATGGACAATGCAACCATGGGAGCTTGGTTCTATTAGACCCTGCAACATTGGAGAAATTATACCTTTCCTTCAAATACTGTGATACTGAGGGTATCATTATTAGAGAAACACAAATAAAAAGGGACTACAGCCTTCAAAACAGAATTCACTTCATCTATTTAGTGTTACGGAAAAATCCCTTATAAGTACATTTTATGCCATGTTGGAGAGAACGTGAAAAGAAAGATAATAATAAAAATTTAATTCATTATTTAATAATATTACTGTTTTGTCAAGTAAAATACTCCAAATCTTGCCTCTTCAGATTAGCAAATTCTGCAGCTTGCACAGTCTGTCATTATTATTATTATTATTATTATTATTATTTATTTATTTTTGGAACCGGGGATTGAACTTGAGTCCTTGCGCTTGAAAGGCAGGCCACCGAACTGCTGAGCTAAATCCCTGGCCCTGTCATTATTTTTTAAAGGTCTGAAAAAAGAATTTGATCCCCCCCCAAAAAAACCCTTGTTTCATGAGGTTACAACTTACACACACTGCTACGACATAAGACCTAGGCAAAATGTATCTATTAATATTGCATGCATTTAAGCTAGGTGTGCTAACAGCCCTGGGGAAGGGGGCAGCCACAAAGGTGACAGGGCACATGTGACAAATGTCCTTCTGCATTTCAGAGATGTTTGTGATCTCCTTTACACTTAATGGATTCCAGCACAGAATAAATACTAACGAAGTGCTGCTGCGCACCTAGGACAAACTCAAAGCAATGCATTTGAGACTTCAGCAGGGAATTGACAGGAGGGCAGATCACCAAATGAAGCTCATAAAGGTAAAGTATAATCAAGGGTGTGGCTGGAAACCTGGAAATAAGCTGCCCAAGCAGAACCAAGTGGAGATTAAAATTGTGCAGAGATCCACACATAGCACATGTGCTGTCTCTGTCTCCCTAGACAGGAGGCCTTGGTCAGGCCACACCCGTCAGCACTCACCATTCCTGCAGAGCAGGACGGCCAGGAAATCCTGAGAAGAATTGATGAAGAGCAAGAGACTGGGTGCCTGAGCTGTCACAAAGCTGAGCGCGATGTTGTCCTTGGATGGAGCCGCTTCTGTGTAAATAGCTGACGATGAGGGGCTCGTGTTCTTGGTCACTGGGTAGGGCTCTTGAAACGTGTACAGTACAGATGTGCCGGCCTCAAACACAGCTGAAACCTCTGCAGTAGAGGAGAGAGAGGACACATGTAAGCGGTGACTCAGTTATCCTGGGCAACCACAACTTTCTATTTATTGTTTCCTGCAGACCAGGCCCTATGCACAGGGTTCTACATGATTCATGTGGTATGTCCACGAAGATAATTTGGAAATGGTGACACAAATTGCTCTTTTTCACAAATGAGAAAATGTTCCCAAAAGTTATATTTGAACAAGATAGCCCAGTAAAAAGTAAAGAGAAGCATCTTAGGTGTGTCCTGTAAAGTTTGCATCCAGTTCCAAATACACTTGCAGAATGACTACTACGTGCCATTCTAATTTTTTTAGAAGCTAAATAAATGTCCCTGCCTCTAGAAGAATTCATAGAGAAATTTTACTGGGACCATCTGACTATTAAAACAGACAAGCTAAAGGCTGGGAATTTAGCTCAGTGGTTCCTCGACCTGTCTAGCAAGTGTAAGGTCCCAAGTTTGATCCCCGGTACCAAACAAACATACAGAGAAGCTAAGAATTCTGGGTAGCATTTATCTAGTGTTTCAGTATGTGAGTGGTGGCCAAGTTGCTGAGAATTGGATTTGAAGAGGGGCAGCAGTTCTTTCTGTACTGGGTAAGTCATGAGGACCAGTGGACACCGTGTAGAAGTGATAAATGAAAACACTAAAGAACCAACAGGTACCAACCCAACACTCAATTTTCTGATGCACAGGCACTGCTGCTACTCAGTTCCTAAAGTCCGCAGATCTGGGGCTCAATTTCTACAACACAGCACACTGGCCAGAGTTCTGTCACTGCCATTGAGTAACGTGGCATTGATAAACAGATACAATTCGGTTATCAGAAAACTGTGAATTTCCAAATTCTCTTTGGAGAATGCTTTCACTCGGCTGTCATTTTGGTCCTGTGGATGTAGCGCAGCAAGAATTATCACTAACTTTTAGGTCTCTTGGTTTCATGCAGGTTGTGTGGCACAGGACAAATCATGCCAGCTATGGGGACTGTTCTCCCTGCTAGAGAATGCGATTCATAGCATCTACCTCAGCTGTGTCTCTAAGTGGACGGATGAGATATATGTAAAGCACTACTTAGCAACAGAACTCATAGACTCCCCCTGCTAGGAGAAAATTTAACTACAGCCTCCCCAGCTTTCTTGATACAATGTATCAGTTTGACTACACATTAATTCAAAGGCTGAAATATTTTTTACTGCTTATATCAAGGCCACCCTTGAGATCTCTTTAAATTTTATCTCTTTACTGTTTGAGGTGGTGGAGAAAGATTTCTTTGTAGAGCAACACATCTTAGAAGCGGCAGCAAGTCTGTGCCATAAAAACAGCACATTCCAACAGGATTCCCTGCTGACACTGGATTTCCCTTCATCTGGAATGACATGTGGAATATTCTTAATTCCTTGTGAAATTTCCTGATTGAGTTAGGGGTGCATAGAACATAATCACATTTGGCCTCACTACCCAATTCTATTGCAAATTTGTTGCACCTTGTGAAAATTCGGTTATAGTCTATAATGGTCCCAGAAAACTTAATGTTGCATATTTATGCACATTTCCTAGCAGACTGAGAATACTGGAGCCTTTTTACTAAAGGTTCAGAGAAAATGTTTTTCATTTATTATACAAGTTGCCATATTGGTATTCCTGATTATAAAAATAAGCAGCAGACACTCGTGACAGTAAAGATCTTGGCTAATCATCAGCTTGATTCAAGTGTTTTCCTTGAATAATATTCTTCAGGGACACTTAGGTGTATTTTGAACTACCATGTCCAAGAAAACAAAATAAAGAGCTCTTACTTGATGTTTATATATGTACTAAAATAAGTCTAATTCAGAGCATTCTATTATAAAGAGCATGTCAGATCTAAGTACACACATTATTTTCTTTTTATTTAGAACAAAAAGTTTAAGATAAAAGCATTTATAATTGCATATCCTAAGCCAAATTTCTCTCATTTTTCTTCCCTTAGCCCCAGTTCTAATTATTTTAGTATTTAGATATTATATATTTTAACATAAACCTAAATTCATCCATGTCCCTAGACCCTTTTGTTATTTTTTCATCTTCTTATGTTTTCCAATCTGAGATTAAGCTTCTCATGAAGTAAGCAGAGTTCTCCAAATCTCTAGAACTTCAAATTTTTCTTCCTATAAGTTCACCTTCCCCATTTTTTTCCTACTTCTTCAGCCTCAGGCCCCTTTTCCTGTGTCATATCACTTCTCAAAAATTAACTGCTCTTTTTGAAGGACTATTTATGGTTCAACCCTAAGCCACTGCTTTGAATAACTTTCCTTCTGCATTATATGAGTGGCATATGAATAAACCTGGTATTTGTCTCATTCCTCTGTCCTTACAAGAGTTTTTTTTTGTTGTTGTTCCTTTCTGACAGTTAAGGATACCTAGAAATTGCACAAACTATAAATAATTCACAGAAAACTCTACCAAATCTAATAGAATGGAAAACGCAGAAGAAATGGGCAGATTTCTAGACACATATGAATTACCAAGGTTGAACGAAGATTTAAAAATTCTGAATACCTCAATTACAACCAGAGGAATTGAAAGTATAATTAGAAATTTACCAACAAAGAAAAGCCCTGGTCCTGATGGCTTTACTGCTGAATTCTATGAGATATTTAGAGAAGAAGTATCACTACTACCCTTTAAATATTTCAAGGAAATTGAAAGGGAACCAATACTTCCAAATTCATTCCTGGAAGCAAATGTTACTTTGATTCCCAAACCAAGGAAAGACCCAACCAAAAAAAAAAAAAAAAAAAAAAAAAAAAAAAAAAGAACTACAGGCCAAACTTCCCAATGAACATAGATGCAAAAATCCTCAATAAGATATTGGCAAACTATACAGAGGGTCATCAAGAAGATCATACACCCTGACCAAATTAGATTTATCTCAGGGATGCAAGGATGGTTCAACATATGTAAATCAATAAATGTAACACACTATATTAACAGAGTCAAAGACAAAAATCATATGATCATTTCAATAGATTCAGAAAAAGCATTTGACAAAATTGAACACCCATTCATGATTAAAAAACCTGCACAAAATTAGAATAGACGGTATTTATCTCAACTTGAAAAACCAACAGCCAACATCATACTAAATGGTCAAAACCTGCAAACCTTCATGCTAAAATCAGGAACAAGAAAAGGATGCCTACTATTATGACTCTTCTTCAATATAGTTTTGGAAACAGCAATTAGACAAGAGAAATAAATAAAAACAGTAAAGATAGGGAAGGAAGAGATTAAACTGTTATTATTTGCTGATGATCTGATACTGTACATAGAAGGCCCAAAAAACTCTGCCAAAAGACTTCTAAACTTAATTGACTGATTCAGTAGAGTAGCTAGATACAAGGTCAACAATGAAAAGCAATGGCCTTCTTGTAAACAAATAACAGACTCACTGAGAGAGAAATTAGGGAAATAATCCCTTTTACAACAAGCCTAAAAAAAAAGAAATACCTAGGAATCAGTCTAAGGAAGGAAGCAAAATACCTCTACATTGAAAACTACAACATTCTGAAAAAAGAAATTGAAGAGTTTATAAGAAAATGGAAAGACATCCCTTGTTCCTGGGTAGGAAGAACCAATATAGTGAGAATGGCCATACTTTCAAAACTGCTATACAGATTCAATGAAAATCCCTATTGAAATCTCAACAGTATATTTCACAAAACTACAAAAAATAATCCAAAAATTCATTTGGAACCAGAAGAGACCTAGAATAGCAAAAGCAATTCAAAGCAACACAGACATAGCATGGGGTATCACAATCCTCAACTTTAAACTATACTAAAAAGCCACTGTGACAAAAACAGAATGGCACTGCCAAAAAAATAGATGTGAGGATCAGTGGAATAGGTTAGAAGACGCAGAAACAACACCAGACATACTCAGTTACCTCATCTTTGACAAAGGAGCCAACCATCCTCACTAGAGGAAAGATAGCCTCTGTAATAAATGGTGTTGGAAAAACTGGATTACAACTTGCCAAAGATGAAAATTAGAACCCAATCCTTCATCACACACTAAACTAAAATCAAAGCAGATTAAAGATCTAAATATTAAAACAGAAACACTACATTTGCTGGAAGTTAAGTTATGTAGAACTTTTAAAGACACTGGCAGAGGAAAAGACTTTATGGATAAATCCTCAGTAGCATGTGAACTAGCACAAAGAATCAACAGCTAGTCTCTCATCTTTTTTAAAAAATTCTGCAGTGCAAGAGAAACTACTAATAGAGGTAAGAGACAACCTACAATGTGGGAAAAAATTTTTACCAACTGTTCCTCAGATCCCCCAATTATAAAGTATATAAAGAACTATCTAAAGTATATAAAGAACTCAAAAAAATTAGACTCCCCCTAGCACTAAAACCCGATTCAAAAATGGTCATCTGAAATGAGCAGACATTTCTCAGGCAAAGAAGTAAAAGGAACAAATAAACATATGAAAAAAATGTTCAACATCACTGGTCATTTCAAAGAAGCAGATGGAAACAACAGTGAGATTCCACCTCACCCAGAAAGAATGGTTGCTATCAAGGAATCAAGCAATAACAAGTGCCAGATGGGTGGTGGGGAGAATGGAATCTTTCATCATTTTTGTTGGAAGTGTAGGCTGGTGGAACCACTTGAGGAAATCAATATGGAGACACCTCAAACAAGTAGGAATCAAAGTCCCATTCAATCCAGCTATTCCTCTGCTGGGTATCTTTGCAAAAGAATTAAAAGAATCAATATATGCTCACTTATGTTTAAAGCAGCACAGTTTGAAATAGCTAAAATGTGGAAACAGCCCAATTGTCCATCAGCTAGAGGCTGGATAAAGTTTTTTTTGTTTTTGTTTTTGTTTTTTTGTTTTTTTTTATTAAATGAAGTACTACTCAGCCACAAAGAATGAGAAACTAGGGATATTTGTAGCTAAGTGGATGCACATTGAGGCCGTACTCTTAAGTGAAATTAATAGTACACATGTGTAAATACCAAATAGTTTCTCTGGTGTGAAAAACTAAAAGTGTAAACAAGGATCAAAATGTGTAATTGATAATGTGTAAAAGGAAGAAAAGTTCTAAAGAAGTAGGGAAAGTGGGATGGGCAGGGGAAAGTTAAGACAGGAAAAGAAAAAAAATATGAGAAAAGGAAAAATATGGAAACAAAGTCTTTGTGAACAGGGAAAGGTGGAGGAGGTGAAGGGAGGGTAGGCAATGGGGAAAAAATAAGAACCAAGATATGTCATGTAAGAGTACAAGATCCCAGTGATGAATGTAACTGTGCTGTATACCTAAAATGTACCAATAAATGTAATGGGAAAAAAAAGATCAGAAAATTCAACCTACCAAAATTAAAACAACTGGAAATGTGACCAATGGAAAAGTTGTTATTACATTTTCCTTATGATAATGGTCCTGTACAGATGTGTTTTTATAGTCCTTACTTCTCACTAATACTAGTGTACTGTTTATACATGATATGATATTATACTTAGATTTGCATCAAAATAATAAGAGAAGAGGAACGGAGAATCTTGAGGAAATAAAAATAGTCCTGATTTGGTAGGTGTTAAAGCCAGATAATGGACATCTGAGGAGCTGCCGAAACATCGCACTACTGCCTCACACCTTCGTTGTTCACCATAAAAAATAAACCAAAAAGCTACCAGCTAGTCAGGATGTAAACATTTAAGAATTTTACATATAGGTGTTCACATTATTTGTAAACAGATCCTGGCATGAGTTAACTTCCTGGACAGGAGTAAGCAGCATCAGTGAGTGAAGCTTTATACACAGGGCTTAGCACAAGTTCTCTGTGGAGAGCTCAGGAAATGGTGAGCAAGGACTACAGTGAGAGATTCCTCCAAGTTTCACCTTCTGTAAATGAAAAAATCAAGTTGGCTTGAGGTTGAGCTACGTGACAAGTGCCATTCAGGGCAGGTTGTGGATGAGCCAGAATCTGAACTTAGGTCTGCTTGGCTGTGTGACTTAGGTCACCATGACAGCAATGGTTACATGGGTGAAAGTGACTTCACACATTGGCATATATTATAATGAGAACCTGCTTATTCGTAATATTTATGATTTATGTAAGAATGTTATGGAATGAAATAAAAAAATTCATGATATGCATTTCTGCAAAATTCATTACATAAAAAACAGATAAGAGAAAATAATTTTAAATTATTGACTCTGAGTAACCTAAAGTGAGTTTCACCATTTCTAGACTTCCAAGTAAATTTTAAAATACACGATCTAACATTTTTAATAAAAAGTATAAATGACAGTCACACATACATTATCCCATTAATAGTGATGGGAGGAGCTAAAGACAACCATACAGCAATGAATGATACTTGGGCAAGTGGATTTCCATATGCAAAAGAGTCAAGTTGTACCCTGTCTATCTCACAAACAAAATGAAACTCACAAAACACTCAAAATGAGTGAAAGCACTAAGTGTAAGTGCTAACAGTTCAAAACTCTTAGAAGAAATCATGAATGTAAATCTTCATATCCTTGGATTAGGTAACAATGTTTTGGCTAAAACACTAAAAGTAAAAGCAATAAAAAAGAAACATAGAGAAACTGGACTTCATCAGAATTGAAAATAATTGTACTTCAAAAGGTACTAAAAGAAAAGAAAATACAGTGAATAGAGAAAATACTTGAAAATGAGATATATATATATATATATATATATATATATGTGTGTGTGTATATATATATAATATACTTATAGTTAGAAGCTAAAAAATTAAGTGAACAGTAAAAAAGATAAGAAAAAATCTGCAACAGATTTGAATAAATATTTCTTCAAAGAAGATACACAATGGACAAAAAAGATATGAAAAAGTGTTTAGTGTAATTGGTCTTAGGTAAGTGCAAGTCAAAACCACAGTGTGGTTCAGGAGACGGGCATTAACAAAAATTCAGGCAGAAATACGTGGAGGCAAAGAAGTGGAAAATTGGAAACCTCGCAAAGTTTTGATGAGAATGTAAAAATCTAGCAGCCTTTTTGCAAATCTATTTGTAAGTTACTCAGAAAGTAAAATATATGGCTCCTGTATGACCCAGCAGTCTTACTTCTAAGTTATGCTCAAGAGAATAAAAGTCATATGTCTACACAAAAATGTGTATGTATGCAACTGTACTGTATATGTAAAAAGAACCAATACACTCAGTAAGATTAAAAAAATTAAAATGTGTATGTGAATATCAACAACAGCATTATGATAATAGCCAAAGAAATGTAATCAGCTCAATGTCCACCAAGTGATAACTGATAGTACAAAGACGGCATGGGCCACACCATGGGATATTCTTTGGAAATAAAAATAAAGGACTGAGAAATGCCACAGTGTAGATAAGCTTTGAGAACATTTGACTAAGACCATACACCTTAAAAGTATGAGCTTTATGATAACTAAGCCAAGAAGATAAAACATACAAGACAGAAAGCTATGGATCTATAAACAAGGAATACTATCATCATCCTTTGAAAAGAATGAAGGTAGAATGACAAACAAGAAAGTGAAGCCAAAGAGATACTTGATAGCCCTCCAAACCAGAGACACATTTTGGCAAGTAACTAAAGCTTCGTGAAGCCTTCCTACATTCATTCTCAACATTAATGACCGTCCTATTAATTTATGGGTAAAATGTATGATGTAGTTAATAACTAATTTATATTTACTTTTTGGACCATGACAAATAGTACCGGGGCCAATATTGGTTCTCATCCCGGCACTGGTAGTGCAGATACATCCCTAATTTCATCCAGGTCACTTCTGATATTGCTCATCATTTCTCCAAAATACTTGCCAATAAGGCAAAAGAAAAAAATATGAGAAAAGGAAAAAATGGAAATAAAGTTTTGGTAAATAGGGAAGGGGGAGGGAGCGAAGGGAAGGCAGGGGTAAGGGGAAAAAATGAGAACCAAGACCTGTCATGTAAAGGTACAAGACCCCAATGATGAATGTAACAGTGCTGTATCCCTAAAATGTACCAATGAACTCAATGAGGAAATAAATAAATAAATAAATAAATAAAATAGTTGCCACCATGGTCAGCAGCAAAGAAGCATGGAACAGCACCCCAGTAGAGAGCAGTCTTTTGAGAACCATCTTGCAGCTGCTGGCTTCCCATTTCAGTGCACCACTGTGCCTCCCCGAGGCAGTCGGCGGGGCCAAAGTTTGGTTTGAAAAGCCCATCTTACCTACAGTGCGATCGCTGAATACAATGAATCGTTCCCATCAAAAATGAAGGGGGCTGGTTGGCAATAGCGGCATGCGAAATGCACAAAAAAAGCTAAACATGAATATGTCTATTTAACTTACAAATGAGAACGTAATTGTGGGAGAGAATACAGGGAATCCACACACACAACCAACAGATTCGGCAGTATGGATGGCAGAGGATCAAAAGGAATTGTCTGTGAGAAAGGAGCCTACGTGAGACTAAACTCAGAACAACACGATCTATGAGACCCTTGAATAACGTCCCTGGAGAAATGCAGAAAAGCCTACTGTTCACATTTTCTGAAATGGAAGACTTGGAGAAACGTGGAGTAACAGTATGGGTATATTTTAGTAAGGTTAGGTCTTGCTGTGTTTATTCTGTATTTGCTTTTTATAGAGCATGAGACCACTCTAAGAACGGACCTAAAGCTTTGTAGTGGAAGGCATTCTGAGAACGAGATGTTCCCTACTGTGAAACGCGGTAGCAATTTCTTGTCTTAGCTCACGTGAAAAAATTACTGAGATGGGACCTATTTCATTTTTAGGCCCCGTGAATGTTTTAGTACAGTGTTGACCCTAAAATTGGTAACATTAATGTTTTTCCAAAGAGCATAAAACACTGCCGAACAGTAATCAGTAACTGGAGAGAAAGCCAAAAAGAATGACCGAAGAGCTTAAATTATAGCCTTTCAATAAAAATATTAAATGCTTTTTAAAAATTTCTTTTATCTTTTGGGTTCTAAAGTAGGTTGAACTAAATAAAGCATTGTTTAGTAGAGGTGCTTGGAAAATATATCTTAGAGATTGACAAGAATTATTTATAATTGGTGTCATTGGATCTTCATGGTGTCTTAAAGTAAAATGAAAATATTTTACTTTTAAAACTTTAAATGCTGCTCTTGAAATATTGTTTACATTTGCTCAACAAAATATTTTCTATCCATAAAATAAACTTCAAAATACTGCATAGGTTAATAGTAGACTGAATATTTTGTTTTTATGTTGGGAAATTACTATTACTCTAAATAGTGAGATCCTCTAGTCTTTAGAGTTATCTAATGTTTGTAGCAAGCAGTCACACCGTGAGTACCACTCCTGCTCCAAAGTGCACACCCATCACTATTACTTTTGCTACTGTAATGAACTCTCAGGCATGGGAAGGGGTGCCAAAGAGCCCCAGGAAAGGAATTTGGACAGTTGCAGTCCAATTCCAGAAAATCACAGCATGATCTCCCAAGCAGTGCTTTTAAAGCCTAAGATGTTTGCTCAAATCACTAAAGGAAAAGATCTCACTAGATACATGATATTGTTTTCACTAATTGACCTATAGTCTCTTTGTTGTACAAATGATTTAGAGACTTAGTTGTGTTTAAGGTTCCTTCAGGGTTAGAGTCTATGATTATTTTACTACATTTGTAGACTGAAGAATTATAACTGAGGAACTATTAGCATCACTAACATTCCGGCTAAAGCAAGAGAATGAGAGGTCACCTCCACGTACCCTCGCCTGGCTCCTTAGCCCCAGACAGTGTGTCTTCTACAGTGCTCATCCCTTTCAGCCCCACTGCCAGTGCACACACCCCTGAGCAATGAGCACTGTCTATGTAATTGCATAAAACAGCTCTGCTCTCTCTAGACCAAGTAAGAGCATGTGATGAAGCCCAAGGGGACCGCAGCCTATGGGTGACTCATCACTGGACCTGGGAGCTACCTTTTTGGCAAAAGGGCCCTTCGTACGGTGAGTGGGTGCAGTCACACGAATAGCCGCTGTGCTTCTCCACACACTTGCCCCCATTGTGGCAGTTGCTGCCATAGCTGCTGCAGTGCCCTGGGCAGCCTGGCCTGACTCCAGAGGTGACTTTAGCTCGCTCCTCCAAGTCCATTTTTTGTCCATTCAAGAGTAGGGAGCGGATGCATCCAAGGAAGCCTTTCTGTCTTGATGATATTCCCCCTAAAAGAAAAAGAAAGAAATGCAAACCCTCATAAAACTTCATTCAGTTAGTTTAATGTCTTTATGGGTAACAGCTATCAGTATGTGGTCAGGCTGTGTTTAATTTTTCTTTAAAGTCTCCATCAAGAATTAAGGGTTTAAATGGTTTAGAAGAAATGTCTGTGCTTCTAGGCTAAGAACCACTGCCTCACAGGAGAGCAACAGGGAGAGAGAGAGACAGAGAGAGAGAGAGACAGAGAGAGAGAGAGAGAGAGACAGAGAGAGACAGAGAGACAGAGAGATAGAGACAGAGAGAGAGAGAGAGAGACAGAGAGTGACAGACAGAAAGTGAACAGGTCCTGAGGAATCCTCTTCAGGCTTACAAGTAAGAGTTCAGATGAAATAAAATGAATTCTTACACAGTCCACAGCAGATTTTAATCCAAACCAGAAAGCACAGAGTGGGATTACCCCTACTGAAAAATTTAATAGCAAGCTGCTAAGTGCAGCAAATGTGAAAACTAGAAAGCACCTCAGAGTGCTGACCCAGCTTTACATCTGGAGAGAGGGTAGAATTTAGGGTCTCAGAGAAAGGAAGCCAAACCCCTTGTCAGGTACTGATTAGGCTTATGAACTACTATGGAATCACCAAAGCCTTGCTATTTGATCTTTAAATCAAGACAAAATTCAATTCTCTGAGTTTACAGGAGGGCTTATTTGAGATCATGGAATTGTGTGTGCTCAATTATTGCTGTGTCTTTAATACCATCTCTGGAGTCCTCAAAAATATTAAGCAACAGTATGCCCCTAATAGAGATAGATAGATGATAGATAGATAAATAGACAGAAAGAAAGACAGACAGACAGACAGATATATAGATAATTGACATGCCTTCAAACTTTCCAAACTCAAACTATTTGTAAGAGGAGATTTTCCCTCCTGGAAGGCAAAATAGGACTGCAACTGAACTTTCCACTGAGAGTTGATCTTGAGGATTTAAGAGAGATCTGATATACTCCTTAGAAATTTCCAAAGAGCAGGGAAGATGCAAAGTCTATGAGTGTTTTATGCCATTGAAAATGCAGTATTCTGCCCAGTAACCTCTTTGGTATATAAAAGTATGTGTACAGAGGAACATCAAGCCAGGAACCAAAGTTAAATCCCACAGCAGGTATCTGTTTAGTGCTAGAAATAGGGCAAGGTCCTATAGGAAGCAGAGGTTCAACCTGCCCTTAAATAATAGGCAAATCCTTGAACTAAAGGACCCACACCTGACTCGGTGGGTAACATATGCAAGTCTCTTAAAGAAGAGGAAGAGAGGGTGAATGAAAACACAGAGGCCAGAGCTGATTTGTAATTTGTTTTCTGTACCTTAGGATCTCCTGTGTGAGATCCACTTATTTCTCATCCCTTATGTGACAAGTGTATCACATATTGGTCTAACAAATAATTAAATCAAATTATACTCCTATCAAGACGGATCTGATAGGGATTACAAATATTTTATCTCAGACAAGGAATTTAGATGTTGAAAAAGAAATAAAGTTCTAAGTTAAAGGATGAATAGTTAATACAATAGAAAAGAGGAAAGGAAATAACTAGGTAGGTAGAGGAGAGGAAATATTTGGGCGGGGTAGGCATCTGCCTTCTGTAAATCAAACCAGGATACTATAACAGTGAATACACACATGAAATGCACTATGTACATCATGATGAAACAAACGCTGAGACAAAACCTTCCTAAAACACAAATCTAGTTTCCTACCCTCCTGTGATAAAACTGCATTTTCTATTCCAATCTGATAAGTGGTACCCAAGCAGGCCAAGAGGCCAAACCCAAATTTCATTCATCTTTCTGTGTCAATTTTGGTGAGTAAATCTCCTTTTAACCACAAGATAAAGCAATTACACACACAGCAGATCATACAAGAAGGTTCATTATTTCTCTCCCCAGATTGTGCAGAATAGACAGGGGAGGATTAATGTAGTAAAATGTTGTCCTTCCTTATTTTGTAGTCACTCCCCATCATAGGTTTGAATAACTCTTCATACATCTTGTTAGTGTCATTTGTCTTCCAGCTGAGGTGGAGAATGCAAGATCTATTGCACAGTTTCTTGCATATGACTTAGTTAACAAATTTATAAACAGTGAAGGTGACGAAGGTTACTTCTGCAGCAGAATTGTATTCCTTGAGGTGTGAGACAGGCAGGGCCTAGTAAGGATTCCCCTGAACAAGGGGATCATGTCACTTCCAGTCGCTGACAAAACACAACGATGCTGTGAGACCTTGTGAACCTAAATTGCATAGTGCACTAAACCTCAGTCTTCTTCTGACTATTCTATTCTTAAAGAGTAGAAAACCTGTCAGGTTCCTTTTTCTTAATTAAGAGGAATATGTAGACTAAAGCAAATTCCACCATCTCTCTCTCTCTCTCTCTCTCTCTCTCTCTCTCTCTCTCTCTCACACACACACACACACACACACACACACACACACTGAACCATAATAGTTGCTGGTTCTCTGCATTTTCTGATGATGTTATATATTATCTGTAGATTATTATATGAGGTACACATCTTTTTCAAAACTTAAATTCTCCACAGAAATTCAACTACAGTCTTCCGTCTTCCTCCCTACTCACAAATCTGCTCCTCCAACCCAGGTTAGTAGCATTGCTCCTCCAGTACCCATTAGAGCTGTCTGCCTCCTTCTACACTTACAGCCATGTTCTTGATATAGGATACTCACTTCCAAAGGAAAGTGACTAATATAGAAATTTGGTACTGAGCGTAATGCTGTTGCTGTTACTATACATGACCATGTGGCTCAGAAGTGTTTTGAAATGGTTTCCAAGAGCATACTGTAATGATTTGGAGACGACATTAGAAATTTTAAACAGAGGGAACAGATATTACAGGGACATTCTGGTCAGAGATCAGAAGACCAGAATGCTGAAAGGAATGTGAACAGTAAAGGGCAGGCTCAATAGATTCAGATGGGAACAAGAACTCCACTGGCAGATGGACTAGAGGGCATGTGTGTTATGCTCTGAAAGAAATTTTGACTTCATTTTTCTAATGTTCTGATATTTTTCTGGGGATTTATATTAAGAAAAGTGGACTAATTAATCTGACAGGTGAAATTTCAAAGCAGCCCAACATTTAGGCTGTAGTATAAGTCCTACTGGCTGCTTTTAACCAGGTCAACAGGTGAAAATCTGGAGCAAAAAGGAGTTGTGAAATGTTTGCAATTTCAAGAGGAAGGAAGAATTTGAAAGTTGAGGCTTTGGAGATCATGGTTGCAGAAAATATTAGTATCAAAAAGAAATATTAGTATTAAAATACTATTAAATATTATTAAATATGAAAATAATATTAGATTTAAAAAGAAGGCTTGACAATGGCAGAGAAGACATGATGGCATCTCAGAAATCAATAAGACACCTCATTTCTCAGGTTCAATTATACAAAACTATAAATCTTTCACTTGAAAAAAAGAGCTATTAGGCCTCCCACTCTGGAAGGGTTCCTAAGGAAATTGGTTCCCTGAGATTCATGTCACAGTGCCTAGCCATCCAAATACTCAGAAATCTCTGCAGTCATGATTTAAGGGGCCCTAGCTACTGCTTGAGCTTTGCAGAAGACGTTGGCATCATCTGTATGATGCTAGTTTTACAGGCATGCAGAATGAAAGAGTTGTGGGTCATGGAGGCTTCCACTCAAATTTCAAAAGAAAGTCTGGGAGGCTGGATGATATGTCCCTAAAATGGGGAAGAAGAGAGCTATGAGAATGAAGCCAAAGTACAGTGAAGAACCCTGAGAGCTAGGAATGCCAGGAATTTGGACTCTCTGCTGAGGGAAACCATAGGCAATGAGAGAAGCCAGCCTAAGAAAATGGCCCTTTGGGCTACAACCAGCAAAATAATAGGGTTAGGGCCACCCAAGCCATTTGGAGTTCACATGTTTCACAACTTAACCAAGGTGCTTAGCTATGAATCTTTAGGATTTAATGTTTCCCCTGTTGTTTAAATCTTGCTTTGGCCTCACTTATTTCTATCCCCCTTGTTACTTTGTTTTTGGAATGGGAACCTTTGTCCTATGCCACTCTATGTTGGAAGTACTTAACTTTCTTTCTGAGTTTTACGCGGGGGAGGGCTGAGTTAAGAGCTTGTCTTGGATCTCAGAGGATAATTTAGATTTGGCTTTTATAGCTATGCTGGACCTGTTGAGATGGAAACTCTGAGAAATGGACTGAATGCATTTTGTATGAGATGGACATGGGTCTTTTGTGGGCCAAGGGTGGAACATTGTATTTTAGATCAAAAATGTTCCCCCAAATGTCTCATGTGTTTGGAAGGTGACTGGATCGTGAGGTGGCCTACAGATGGTTTGCTGTTAGGAAGTGGGGCCTGGCTGAAGGAGGTGGAACGGTGGGGACATGGACTAGACCATGCCTTCTCCCTGGCTTCTCACCTATCTCTCTCCCTCCTGGCTGCCATGGGTAAGCACTGTTCCACTGTGCGCCTTTCTACCACTCCATTCTACCTTGGAAACAACCAACCATGGGCAGAATCTTCCGAAAATAATGAGCTAAAAATCCCTTCTTTTAAATTGTGGGTGTAATGCAAAAGCTAAATACTATGATATTTGTATCTATCCTTCACTGCAACCTCATCTTAACAGTCGTCATTGCACTCATTAATTAATTAATTAATTCCTCTAGGATGGGGATGGGAGGTAAAAGTAAATGAGGAAAGAGCCCTTGACAATGTAAGCTTTGTGGTACAGGATTCAAGGTGGGGAAAGGAGAACAGATGATTACCTGGCCTTGTTATTAAGAAGAAGACCAAGTAGCAATTCTAGGACACTTGGAAGCTCAAAGCTGGCTCCAGCAGCACGCACATGTTGGAAGGGAAGGCAAAGTCTTGAGGCTCCCACCAACAGTGGCTGTGACATGGGCTCTCCCAGGGAGAAGGAGGGCATGGAAGTACAGCATTGCTGAGGTGCTGGGACATTTAGC